TTAAAACTCCACCGACGAAACAAAGGAGCGACGAAGCCGGTCGGTCCGCCCCGATCTTTTTCGCCACTTTGCCGCGCTAATGACGGCCTGCCAACGTTCCCCGGCAATTATCCTGGAATTTCTTACACGCTGCTCCGGTTGATCCAAGAATCGCGCGTCGCGTCGCCCGCGACCCGAGCCTACCAACAACGAGCCGCTGCCGACGCCACCTCCGCCGCCGCTGCCTCTCTTAATACATCTCGAAAGCTTCAATCATCGAGTCCCGGAAAAGTAAAAGTGGCAGAGACCGATGGGAGCGGGGGAGGTCACCGCTACGATCGTATGGATGAGCGCGCGCGGGTTCGGGGCTCCGACACTTAAAGTCTTCACCGCGCTCGCATGCAACTCCTCATGCGCGTCTCGTAAGAACGGAATAAGTACGCGTTTTTCGAGGCTTTTCTCATTGGGAAGGCAGGCAAACTCGCAGCTGCTGATGGGTCTCCGTCGCTACACCACGGCTTTCGAAATCGTCGAGAGCGCGCGCTTTAGCTTCTCAAATTAATCGTTGGACGCGTGTGTTTACGCTTCTTTGTTAAGACGCGCGTAAGCGCCCTTGACACGAAAATTTTTTAAGACTCCTAAATCTTTTCTCTCCGCGCTCGCTCCCGGTGATTTAACTTTACACGAGTGTCACTTATCTCCTGCCCCTCCACACACACGCACGCACGCACGCACGCACGCACACACACACACACATCCTCCCTCTATCCCACAACCCGTTCTACCACGGGAACTCTCGCTTCGTATGATCATTGTGGGTGTTGCTACGCCAACGCGAATAGAAACTAGTCGATATCCCTTCTGGGAATAAACGACGGCGTGAGGTCTACGGGCTTTTCGACGTACCAAATTCATTTGTTCTTCTTACAACAACAGAAAAAGGATAAAAATTGTCATCTTGCCCTCGGAAGCATATCAAGACTGGCTTTATCGCGTTTGTCCCCAAGTGACGTATGGAGGATGCATTGGCGATGCTCGAGTCGCGGTTCGTGGAACGAAAAACGATCGGGCGCCGGCGGACCTATAAATATAATTACAAACGCCTCCTATGCTCCTCTCGGTCCGCCCGCGCGTGAAATTACTGTTACTCCACGGGTTTAACTATGTTTTATAAGCGCCGCTTCTCTATGGCTGCAATCGAGTTTATTTCTCCTCCTCCTCCTCCGCCACATCTACCACCATCGCCCCAAGCCCTCCTGCTGCTACAAAAGTTCATCGATGGTGTTGGTAATGTCTTGTACGCGCTCGTCGAGCCTAAAATATAACTCGCATACCCGCGCTTTTGTGCCACTGTAATTGTACAAAAAACAAAAATTCGTACACACTGGCTAACGACCGCAGTCTTAACTTTATCTTGGAAAATAAATAAAATCTGTTTGGTATGTAAAGTTGACGTATCCGGGGCGTAACACTTGCCGATACAACTGAGAAAATTTCCACTGTAGAAACAGTTCTTCTCACTTGAGCATAAACAGAATCGTTTCTTTTCATTTTCTAGATCGAATTCCCAATGAGGATAATATATCTATATATATATATATATATATATATATCGTGAATTTTTACTAATTTATCCTCCCAATGGATTTTTCAAATATTAATATTACGAAATGTATCGTGAAAAAAATTATCGTCATAATTGTGCATAATCAACTCGTGCGCGATTACGTCTTTGAGCTAGAATTGAGTAGTTTTAATGATTTACAATTATACAATTAGAGTAATTTTTTTTATAAAACTTACATCAATCACCACGAATTAAATATAGAATTAAATGTAAGACTAAAAAAATTGTTCATAATTATACCAATGTCAATTTATCAATACACACAAACAAACAAACACTCTAACACACGCGTATATATATATATATATATATATACGTTTGTATGCGTATAAGTAAGTAGGTAGGTATTTCGTAATCTATAAGTTTTAATGTTACCAAAGACTTCTTTCACAAAGCGATATAATGTATTTTGATTTCACCTCCTTGATTTATAAGCAATTTAATAATTTTATTTACATTATATGATTAATGCTGATACGTTTGCTGACAAATTAAGAAAGCACTACTGCTAGGATTGATAATTAATATCACAATAATCACATAATTGCTTTGCTGACAATTGTATGTAAAATATTACATGTCATCATACAACAGAATATAAAATGTAAATTACAATGGGAATAAATTCAAATAAACTATATTTCTCATAATTTCTGCTAAATATATTACTAGAATTAATGTTCATGCTATTTCATATTAAAAAGGTATAACTATAGAGAAAATAAAGTTATAAAATATAACGGAAAACGGTTGTATTACTTAAAAATGGCTTGAAAAAGGGCAATAAAAATAAAAATAAACGTTTATAATGCAGTAAAAAATATTTAAAAAAAAGAAATAAAAAAAATTGTTATATATTTTTAGAGGAAAGAATAAATGGGTAGTGGTGATGTTTATTTGTTTAGTTAAACAATTAATAATATATGGTAAATATAATTTAAAAATTGCTTTGCTTTAATCTCAGTTTGTTTATACGCGTTATGATTGTGGTATGTATGATATATATATATATATATATATATATATATATCAAATGCTTAGTCAAATTTCACAATTAAACATTTAAAATACAAACTACATTTAAATGATTTGACATGCAATTTCTTTTTTTTTTTTTTTTTTAATACGAGTTTAAATAATTGAAGCAAATTTATTATACGTTGTTATAATTCATATAAAACCAAGATTGGTAGTATTAATTATTAATTATTACTCTACCTAATTTCTGCAGTAATTGTGATTACAAGATTAGAATGCACAATACGAATATCTTTGTTCACCCAATTGCAATTAATATGATATTTATGCTGCAATTTCAAGTAATAAAATGAAAAAATCATGGTCTGGTTGGGGTATAGCATGATATGGTAAAGTTCATCCAAGTATCGATAGACAAAGTACTTACCGGTGTCCATGATACGAAGACTTGACGAGCTTGACGGCGAAGAGGAACTGAATGGCGCAGACGAGGAGGCAACACAAGTTGAGCGAAAGCGCGAGTGCACAGAGCACAAGTGTGACATCGTAAACGATGGCGAACTCTTCGGGGCTGATGAGGCTGTTGGGCACGAACGAGACCGACGACATCCTGATAAGGAAGGTGAGAGAGAGCAATGCGAGTAGCAGCGATACGAGGCAGAGAAGCCCGAGGCTCGTGAGCATCTCTTTGACGCCGGCCTCGAGGCCCTTCTGATTGCGCGTAAGCGACGACGTGGACCAGGAGACATTGAGGGGCACGATGCTTGGTCCTGTAGACGTCGTAGCCGTGGGACAGGTGGCCTGACCGAGGCCATTCGCGGCTGATGAGGGCGAAGGCGTCGCTCGATTAGTGAGCCTCGAGGTCCTCGATATGTCGAGGCCACCGTTAACTTTGGAACGATCGCGCTCTAAGGGCGATTGCGTCTGTCGCAACTGCTGCTGCTGCTGCTGCTGCTGCTGCTGCTGCTGCTGCTGCTGCTGCTGCTGCTGCTGCTGCTGCTGCTGCTGCTGCTGCTGCTGCTGCTGCTGCTGCTGCTGCTGCTGCTGCTGCTGCTGCTGCTGCTGCTGCTGCTGCTGCTGCTGCTGCTGCTGCACACTCTGACTCTGGTTCTGATTTTGATGCTGCAATTGTTGCTGCTGCTGTTGTTGCTGTTGTTGCTGCTGCTGCTGCTGGTGATGCTGATGGGAGTGCTGGTGTTGCTGGTGATGCAGCTGGGCGAGAAGCGCCTGGGTCTGCCCGAGCGACAGGTTGGCTCGGCGATCGGCGCAATTGCCGTGGCTGGTACCAACGACGGGGCTCGCACTGTTCACCGAGTGCTTCGAAGTCGACAGGGTCGAGAGATTAAGCACGTGGGAATGGTGACTGGCGTTCAACCTCTGGGCAAGATTGTTGACACTGAGCTGCGAGTGGTTGAGGGGGTGACGCTGACTCTGGAATTGGGGCGCGGCGCGTTGCCCGACCGTATGATTGACGCTTTCGTAGACGTCGGCGCTGCTCTGGGCTCGGGCCGTGCGCTGCTGACCCACTCCGTGAGGGTGCTGATGCTGATGCTGCGGATGGAAGTGATCGCGCTGAGCGACGGCGGCAACGGCGGCGGCGGCCGCAGCTGCCGACGTCACGGGCGCAGCACCGGCCGCCTGGAGATAATCATTGTGGTGGTGCAGCCTGGAGCCGGCGTTCGACGACGGTTGCCCCGTCAGAATGTGCTTCAGCATCACTCGGGCCGGCCTGACTGCGAGGCCTTTCGGAAGCGAGGACGACGGCTCAACGGGTGCCGGGACTCAGGGAGTTGCTGCACACGAGTTGCGGCATCGCTGGTCCGCGGCTGTCCGATTCTCTCAGGTTTCGGCCTCCTCCGAGCCTACGATCCGCTGGCTCATCCTCGGCTCCTCTCCGACTGTGATATCGACACCTACCCTCCTCCTCCTCCTCCTCCTCCCT